CAATGTTTATATAATGTTCTTATTGACCTTGGATTTGTCTAATCGATGAGCTAAAACTTCTTCTGTACTGTTGTTTATTGTCAAAATACTCCATCAATACTTACATGGCTGGATTTCGTTAACCCAACGTTTATACGTGAAAAAGAGATAATAACTCGATGAGCTACTGTTCACTTCATGTTAGTACCAAAATAATGAAGCAATGAAACTATCACAAGGAATATTTAATCCAACTTTATCTACACAAATAACCTTTGATCATGGTTTAATCTTCTCTGCACTTTTGTATTTTGTTTCTGAATGTCTCATCACTAGGCTCACTGACTGGCATCTTCAGCACCATCTTCATAAAGAAGTGTAGCTTACTCGAATATCATACAAATGTTGATATAATATTCTTATTGACCTTGAATATTGTCCAAGTTGGGGAGGAAGTTTTTATGACAGCCTGACCTCTTTAACCTAAAATTTCTTTCAGTCACTTCATTGGACCATCTTCGGTGAGATGAAATTTTACTATTTATTATTGTCACAATGTACATCTTTATTGATTTTTCTAGTCAGTTTACCCTTGGTTGATAGATAGATTGTAGATTGACTCTATATCCACATGTGTGTTGATTGACATTTCATTTGAATGGTATACTTCAAGGATTTTCTCTTGCAGCTTTCAAACCTGCTCTTTTGAGAATTTCCACAGTCTCTCAGTTGAATTGATGATTGTGATGATTGTCTGCATGCATTGAAACCAAGAAGGCCACGTTATGCCGCTTTACTGATAGTTGGTGTCCATGAATTCCTCAAGCGATCCAATAGTTGGACTGGTCAACATAGTACTATGAATAATGTTTGCAATGGATTTTGTAACTTATATTTATCCTGCCTTTTTTTGTCAATGGATCTTTTGATTAGCACAACATCCTGTGTTGTTGGTTTATATGTTGCTGTGATTCCGAAAGGATGGATTGATCGATTGACTGTTTCTGAGATATCTTTGATGTAGGTTATATAGTGTAACGTGCCTATTGATTTTAGGCAATTGCTGCATCTTATCCCCTGCTGATAAACACTTTTTGATAAAGTTTTGTGGATAATCATTAACTTTGAGCACTTCGTACTGGTATTTTCTTTCAGTTTTCCGTAGTGCTTCAGTTGTGCAATGTGTTTTGCCTCTTGAGAATAATATTTGGACACCGCATTTCTTTGAACCGCTGGATGACTGCCGTTGTAGTTCAATATTTGATCTATGTTAGTGGTTCTCATGTACATTTGAGTTTGTGAAGTCTTCTCATGTGTTCTGTTGGTGAGGGAACCTAAAAAAGAAAATTTTCATTGGATCCCTTTGTGAAGTAAATTCCTTCAAATATTTAGTTGATACATTTGGTGTGTTTTCTACTTCATCTTCCTTGAGACTTACGAATGTGTCGTCAACGTACCGAATGCAAATTTTTTATTTGGTGAAAGGGATAATCGCTGTATCACAGCTTCAGCAATCAGTCCTGATATTGGTAATCCCAACAGTGTCCGTTTTGTTTGTTTGTAAATCTTCTCATTGAATTGCAAATTGGTCGATCAATTCTACGACGTTTAGAACAATGATCTTCGTATAGTCAGAAAACGGTTTGGTCATTTTTAAGAAGAATATCCATCATCTCCTTAGTTAACTCTGAGTCGACTGATATGAAGAGTGAAGTCGCATCCAAAGTTATCATCCTTTTGTCACTGTTTACCCTTAAATCTTTTGTTTTGTCTAGAACTTCAGATGCTAAGCTGCTTGAGTGTTAACTTCATGTTCGTATTCGTATAACATTTGAATATGTCTCACGTCTTTATGAGGATGAAGCGTTCACGACAAAATATCAAAGCCCAGAGAACACCGAACCATCATCATCTTGATCGAAAAATCTTTTCCATCATTGAAAAAAACTTTTGTCATGAAGTGCTTCAGTACGACATCGACAAAATACATCACGTATTGTCTTTATTTTTCTTCATATTTATCCATTAGTACTGATTATTTGAGTCGTGCAGTGCTACATAGTGTACTCTAAACTCACGATGACTGGAGTAACTTTGATGAAACATATGATGTATGATATATTTAGAAAAGAACTAGGAAAAAGTTATGTATAAAACACCCAGTTTAAGCATAAGCACAATGTTGAATGTAACAGTCACGAATGAGTGGGAGTTATTTATAAAGTGGTTCCTCAAGGCACACAGACAAACACACAAAGGAATACTAAGGATGGCTACAGCACTCAGGAGTATGTACCAGTTTGTTTAGGGAAATGAATTACAAAGTGTAGTCCTCTGGCATTTCGTAGATAGCGGACATCAAGTCATGTTAGATCATGCCTTTTCTATGATACATAGAGTCTCTCATAACTTCCTCAAAAAAGCACGGCAATGCATCTCAACAGTTGCCAAAGCCATGTGTTCAAGAGAAATATATCCATCTACTCTGTCTACCTCTGCCCACAACTTTCTTAATGCGGTTGGTGAAATACTACAGATAAGCCCTACTGGTTTTTATCTTCTTAAGTTCTTCGCTAGTTCGTGACACCTTTGTATGATCTTGACTCAGTAGTTTCCAACGGAAACCTTGCTGACACCACAGTTGGTCGGTCAAAGTGGACAGTGGAATTTGTAAATCATTTGCAAATTAATCATTCAGTTTTATTTGTATTAGTCCATAGAAGTTAGCCAGCCAAACTGATTCAGATGATTTGAACTAATTTAGCTGTATGAGTTGAAGTTGTAGCGGTACACCACTGATGAGCTGACTCGGTAACTGCATAGAATTCAGTAGATTAGATTATTTTGCTTAAATGATTCTATCGGATACTTAAATCAGCCGACAAAGGTTATCTGTGAGTGAATGTGTAGGTTAAAATTCCACCCACATCCCAACTTTGTTGAGGATTCTACTTAAAATTTCTCAAGTACCTTCCTTATAGAGTAACACAATGGAGTCTGTGAACTCCCTTCTACTCGTGTAATTGTTACTAGTCGTACTCTTATTACTGTTATTATTTTGTAATTTATGTGTTTTTACGAATTTCTTAATCAACTGTGAAGGATAATTATTAACTATTAGCACTTCTTTTATGTCCTTCAATTCCTTGTTTAGGTCCTTGCGTGGACGAGTGAGTTTTCTAGCTTTCTGATTAAGACATTTGACTAAACCTGCCTTAACTGATGTTGGATGAAATGACTTGAGGTGAGGATACCTGTTAGAATATGTCGATTTGTATTGGACGCTAGTATCCACGTATCCATGTAATGACTGTGAGGTTAAGTACACAGATGAAACTAGCCGGTCGTGGTCAGTTAGAAAGCAGAACATACAATGTTAGCCAAATGTAGAATGACATACCCTTAATATGATCCACAACCTAGAAGAGAACTCGGGTATTGGAAGGCATGGATTAACACAAGGCCACATAATCAAGAGTGGAATGGAACCACTGTACTTAAGTGGAATATAATAAGGTGGAGAAAGTCAGAGACTGATTACTAAATCTTTGTTCACAGACTCGACACCCAACACTCGCAATAGATATGATCCAGCACATACCAGTAAAAACGAATATTACGAGGTGATAGTGAAGAATGAAGAGACAAACATGTCAGGAAGTAGGCATAGTGTCAACAATTGGGACTGTAATAAGCCTGCGATATCCTTGCGTTGCTCTTGGCAGAAACCTTACCCACTGCTGGTAATTCCCTATGATTCCTGCCACCCTCTCAACATATACTACTTATATCCATTCTTATCAGCGACGCCCAGTATAACAGGACTTAAATTCAGCTGTAGAAAGTAGTTTGACTACATTGATATGATATAGATCAATGATAATTTACGCACGAAACATCCATCATCAAGTAAATAATACTGCCTTACAGTGTATCTAATATGGAATTACATCCATTTGATTTCATCAGCATTTACCAATAACCTTGACTGTTTCATACTATTATTATAATTTTACCATATGCTAGAAAGAATAGGCAACAAGGAACTCTGCAACAAACCAACGAGGCGAAAACTTATCACCCAACAAATATGCACAAGAAGAAAAGAGAGATGGATTGAGCATCCACTGATCATCGAGTGGAACCCACATGCGAAACGACGAGCTGGACATCCATGGCCAGGGTAAAATAGAATAGATCATGTGAGAAAGAAGTGAAAACTTTTGAGCAGAGGTGGCGTCAAGTTCAAAAAAACTGCAGAGAAGAGAGTGCAATGGAGGCGTGCTACTGAAGCTCTAAGTTCCACTAGGAACCCAAGGGAACAGTAATAATAATAATAGTAATAATAATAATAATATGCTAGACATTAACCGTTGTATTTCTTCTATTCTAATGTATTTTTAACTGTTATAGCTGATGAAGAAGTTATAAAAAACAATTGTTCACTCAAATTATTTTTATTCTGAAGAAAATTATCAACCTAATCATCGAAATACACCATTTCATTACCAAATAGAAACTCCTTACAAAAATTACATCAACTTTTATTAAATCGTAAAATATCTAAACACTAGGTATCTTTTCAATATAGAATGTACAGATTTCTCAAGAATATTTCAAGTTCTGGCATACATACATATATAAAAAAAAACATAGAATAATTGAACAGAGTGTACATACATAAAGAAATGTATTCACGGACAAATTGTAATATAATATTCCAGTATTATTGAAAATAAATGTTTTCAACTTGTAAGTATATCCAGAGATTTACAACATTCAGATGAAACAAGTTGAAATAAAGGGCATAGAAAATAAATATTTAAAAGTAAAATAGTGTATCAGCATACTGGTCTCGAACTAGTGAATGTATAAACAATATAGATGGGTAGAAAAAAGTATTTGAAAGTAGTTTTATTATTACAGTTAATATAGACAAGATTACCTTTTTGAGATATATGTTATATATATATATATATATATATATATATATATATATATATATATATATATATATATATCTATAGTCGCGTTTGAACAGTATTACTTGAGTTGAATTCATTCATTTCTTCTGTTTCCATATTATTGTTCTCTTTATCTGTATCTGAATTAGTATAAGTTGATGGATTGTATGGATCACATCCACCGGATCGTTTTAATGCTTCACCAAGCATATTTGTTCGATAAAGGAATACATTTAAGATCCAAAGGAGTACTATCAAAATTACCCACTGTAAGTAGTAGTAAAGTCAATAAAAGATATATATAAAAAAAGGAGTTAACTTGAATACTGGTATGAATTTATTTATTTATTCACTAAAATTGAAGACAAGTTGATTTCTGGTCACCAGTTTGGTCTCACGACTCACTTGGTAGACTAACTGGTCAGAAATCCAGAGATCACTGGTTCGAATCTTATCATGGCCCAATATTTACAAGACTTGGCTACCGGTGACTAAATCATGTCGCTATCATGTCCTTTTTGTGCTTAGCACTAGTTGAAGTCTATCAGTCAAGTTTCACAAGATGACCCCTAAGCACAACATTGTATTCAGGCGCTAGATAGTGGGAGTCATTCCGCGAAAGTTCCAGCCTAACCTAGGTTCTCTGCTTGTTAGCACTCATCAGTAAGGCGAATGCGTGAACACAAGGAAATCGGTGCTCTCTCAGTGATATGAAATTGCTTCACTCAGTGTTGAAACGAGGGACTTAGCTTTTAACATATCCAGGTCAGCACTTTTTCACTTCCTGCATTACGTAACCTTATACAAGCTGTCAGTAAATTCAAAGTGAAGGTTTTCAGTTTTGATTCCTGGCAAATCTGTTGTGTTGACTGATGCTTGTCAGCAATAATATGTCGTAAAATAATGAAAATTAATTTCATATTTCAAATAATAAAATTCGACAAGAAATATACTTCTGAACAATATAAGTCAAACTCATCAGCGACGGGCTCGAAGTGATACAGCTCAGAGAACTGAATTGTTCAAACTATGCTCAACATGGATCAGGCGGTATACCAATAACAGGATGGATGATTTGGAGGTTATTTTTTAATTGTATGATTCATATCAACAATTATCACAGCTGAAAAGTCTTTCAGCTGTACAGCTGTACTGTTAACATGGTTTCCGTTGGAATTCAATCAACCAGCTTTGTAAGGTGTGATATTTTACTTAAAATTTCGTAATACAGTACTGAAATTCGATAACAAGAAAGGGGTTAAATTGTTATTTAGATTATATCACCGTGATTTAATTGTGAAAGTAGTTGACTTGCTAAATATTACTTAGTGAATATAATACAGGCACTATAGTTATGTAACAATGCAGATAAACGAAGTATATGGACTTCTATTCTACAAACATATCATCTCCTTTCCTAAGACTTAATAACTGAGGCTTATGATGCGATTAACCATTTCACGTAACCTATAAAGCTGTCTGTGTTCGTTGGAATTTCGGTTATTGGTTGAAGTCTACAAGCCACAGTGTAACTCGATTGTCTAGTAGCCTATAAGTGAATTGAAACGAATCACAAAAAGTCTTTCCCCTACTATCGATGCAACGATTCAATAGAAGTGAATGGATTAGCAGTGTATATTCATAGCCAAACTCAGGTATAGTTGATTTTAAAACATCTCTTCTGAGAAATTCACCTAATAGTAGCTAGTATGGAAGACGAACACGCAGGTTTCTTCGTGTATGGGATCATTCAGGTATAATTACCTTCATTTCAGTCTCACGACCCACACTCGAGAACCTCGTACCTGTTACTTCAAAAGCCTCCGTGTTATTCACTAGGCCACTGACGAATGGCACCTGACTTTTGTGAAATTATTATTATAATTTTTTCCTCGAGTTCCTAGTCGAACATGGGGCTTCAGTAGCACGCTTCCATTCCACTTTCTTCTCTGCAGTCTTTTGAACCTGACGCCACGACTGACCGCAAGCTTTCATTTCTTCCTCATATGATCTCTTTCATGTCACCCTCGTCTCAGACGCCCAACTCATCGTTTCGCATGCAAGTTCCACTTGAGGTTGTGGCCTAGCGCGTAATATCCCTAACTGACCTTTTCAGTGTATGATTTGTTGTTAGATAGACTTATACAAGGAATATCTGTTCCTTTCATGTACACTAACATTGACTTTCTTCACAAATGATGACTTAAGATGACTTTTGAACACTTTGATAGTTAATTCATATAAGTGGCATTAAATTAAATAAAAATTTGAAAGGAAACTCATAACGTACTTCTACTAGAGTTGTAGATAAGGAATCCCACGTTAAATGATACAGTCTGGATGTTGACTGACAGCTTCATAAATCCACCAGACCAATAATGTTACTGATTGTAAAGGTACTAGAAATCTGAAAAGAATTAGATCGAAGTATATTTTGAATTTCTACTCACTGAAACCTAGAAAATGTAGAAGAATTTCAAGTGACAATGGAATGTCAACTACTGTGATTTTTTAGTGAGTAAATAGCTATGAATTTTGTTCAGTGTTTGTTCACGTATTTATATTATAAAGCGGAGCGGAGCTGGATAAACGAGTAAAATTGACTTCATATATTCAGGATTCAGTAATCTCTGATCTTTCCATAGTCGGTTGAACATGATATCAATGAAGCCATCTAGTCTGTCGTCAACTTGAAAATAAACTATCGAATGTTTACAGCATATCTTCATGACGTTATAGACAAAGAAACATTCTTAATGATGACTAAGAAACTACAGCTGGTAGTTCAAAGTTTGTTTCACCTTTTGTTGGAAAATTTTTAGTATTATCATTATCATCAATTAAATGAATAACATTCCCGAATACCTTCAATTTCATTTATCAGAGAACAAGTCAGTCAGAACAACTATAATTTTTTAATGATATAAAACAGAGGTGATAAAGACAACCAGCCACCACCGCCACCAACAACAACGACAAGAACTAATCATCATCAACGGGGGAAACCTAAAGGAAATAGTCTCTTCCATCTAGGCAGCATCATTTCAACTACAGGAGGTGGTACAAGCACAGATGAGGACGTCAAAGTCAGCCAGCATCAGAAAGACAGCAATACAGGCATTCATTAATCTGAAATCAGTGTGGAGATCCACTGCACTCAGCATAAAGCGTGAACAACATCCGGATTTTCAACACTAATGTCAGTCAAGTCAGTGCTGTTTTATGGTTCAAAAACTTGGCGCGTTACGAAAAGCACTTCCAACAAACCACAGATATTTATCAACAACTGCTACCTACTCTGGCTCACTCGATACTGAAGATCAGATGCTTAGAATAATAAGAATAACCAGGGAGGAACTTTGGCTGGCTGGCAACGAACCAAACCAACAACATATCACCCAACAAATATGCAGAAGATGAAAGTGGAGATGGATTGGGCATCCACTGAGAACGCCGATTGGGGACATCATGCGCCAGGCCAGGTCGTCGAGTAGAATCCGCATGGGAAACGATGAGGCGTGTGTCCGAGGCAAGGGTGACATGGAGGAGATGATGCGAGGAAGAAATGAAAACTTGTGGGCAGTATTGGAGTCAGGTTTTGAAGACTGCAATGAAGACAGTGAAATGGAAGTGTACTACTGAATGTCTATGTTCCACTAGGAACCCAAAGGATAAACATCAACAAATATTCTTATCTTAGCATCAGTTATATCACAGTTCATCCTTATCCGTTTGATATTCAGTAAGTGTTGGTATTCGTCACGAACCATTGGAAACCTTAGAGCTTGCCCTATTAGTGTACTCCTCAGTAATATACACCCATTACCTCATCAGGGGTCGAAACGAAAAGCTTCAGGCTCTGCAGCCAGTATGTTAGCATCAAACCACTAGATTAGAATCCACTGGTCCACATATCCTACTTCTGTTAGTTCATGAAATAGCACGATCTCCATTGAATATCTTCAATGAATAGCTGTCTTCATATCCAATAATGACTTCTCATTACAACTTCAAGTATCTCATTTGAAAACAAGGCAATAATGAATGTTAGAGTAATTCATATTTTGTGTTATTGCTTGTACAGATAGGTACTACCAGTTGATGAATCCTAAATAGGACGAAATATGAATTCTAGATTCTACTGTTAGCCATCAAACCTCACCTGTGTAACTAGTTCACTAGTTACTAGCCGGTCCTAAGCCCAAATAAAGAAGGAAGTTTGGACATAGGGTTAGCAACTCTACCCCATAAAACCAATCCAACCTCTAAAGAAACTTCAAAGCATAAACAATATCTAAAAAATATAAGCAAAATTATTCCTCCCTGAAATCGGAGAGGTGAAAGCCTTCGGGAAGCCAGTTAGCCGATGTGTCTTCTCTCTCTTTCTCGATGAAAGCGAAAGTAAACATGGGGATATGGAATGTCCTTATCATCGTCTATCAATTAAATTCATATTTCGATTTCGCATTTAACTATAAATTATTGTTTGAAATATATAAACTTCACTACTTTATCATTATGCAAAGGTGAAATAAAATCTGAATTTTAATCAATTTTTTTTATCAACATTTATATGTCTTTTTATCTACAGTTTTTGGTATGTTCTGTATACTTTATTCATAACCAATTTAGATAGATTATCTGTAACCTGTTTTTACTACACTTGAGAAAGAGATTAAGAGTATTAATCGAGTATTAACTTTTAAAGTTTATGATTTGTAGGAGGAAAGTGAATAATGATAGAACTTACGCAATTATCGGAATCCAGGCAACAGTTAAATGACAATCATTCATTCCATAATCATTAATAAGAACACGTAAATAACGATTTGGTCCATAGATAATGACTACTAGACAAAACAAGAAACCGGATACTATCAAACCATAACCCCATGTATTATCCTAGTATGTGAGGATAGAAAGAAAAAGATCAAGAATTGTTTATTACATAACTATACAATGAGATCTGCGTAGTGCTGTGTTCTCTGAGATAACCTGTTGAATAGTTGAGCTTTCATCGTCTTGCTAAACAGTGACAACATCAGCACTAACTTCTGTATGAAGTGAGCTGTCAATATCTCTGAATGACTGATTTAGTAACTTGCTATGACGATGTCGTCTGTCATTGTTGTGCCATTGACTGTGAAAATTTCCTCATCGGCTATTCTTCTGCTTCACCTCTCACCTTTCCGTCATTTATCATTTTTCTTATTCCTTGGTAGATTGCATCTATGTCTACATATCTACTGATTGCTGACTGACTGACTGACTCACTGACCTGAATGCCAATCTTCTAGGAATTCTCTGACATTCATTATGCTTCCCCTCTCCGTCCAAAATTTATACGTTGTCAACATTCAATTCATATCCATTGCTGTTATCCACGTGCATTGAAATGAGTGATGAAATGTCGAGTGTGTGATGTTCAGTAGCCAATCGATGTTCATATAGATGAAGCCGAAGAGGGTGACCACTTTGTCCAATGTCTAGTGTTGACTACAGTGATTTCAGTTGATTTTGTAAATGATATTCGATTTGTCTGTCTTCTTTGCTTGTTGCATACTTTGTTCTGCATAATAGTGTTTGGAGGGAATTTGTGGATTTATGAGTGGCCACACCGATTCCAAGTGGTCTCAGCAATCTTGTCGTGATTTCTGATATATTCTTTATGTATGGTAGGACGATGAATTTGTTCGTTTCCATTGATGACTCTGTAGTTGATGATGTGGGGGATAGGCATCTTCTGATAAAGTTTCGTGGGTAGCCGTTCTTCTATAGGGTGGACATCAAGTAATTTTCTACATTTCTGCTTGAAGTTGTTGTGCTACAGTGTGTTCTCGCTCTTCTGAATAGAGTCTGCATGCAACTGATTTCCAGCTTTCCGGCATTTGTCCTGTTGACTAAAACATCCAAGAATGGTAGTTGGTTGTTTGACTCATTCTCCATTGTGAATTTCATGTCATTGAAAATGTTGTTGATCAAACTGTGGGTGTTTTCTATATCATCCTTCTCAATGATGACAAAAGTGTCGTCTTCATAACGAATCCAATTTCTGGTTTGATCACAGGTAGAATAATGGCTTCGAGTCTCTGCATCACTGCTTCTCCAATTAATCCGGATATCGGTGATCCCATTGGAGTTCCTTTCATCTGTTTGTATATGTTGCCGTTGAATTGGAAGTATGTTGTCATAGGAAGGTCAATGAGTTCCATCAGACTTGAACATTTGAGTTTTGTGTGTTGTGAAAGATTTTTGTGTTCATTGATGAGGAGGGATATCGTTTCGTTGGCCGATTGAGGTTGGATGGATGTGTAAAGTGTTGTGACATCGAAGGATATAAGCCTATAAGGAAGCAACATCATGAATTCTACTTGGGATTGTCAACAAAGCTGCTATGAGGGTGGTATTTAAACATACAAACTCACTCACACATAAGCTTTTTTTGCCTGGAGTCTACAGACAACTGATTTTCTGCATTGTTGGGTTGTTACTACTGTAGTTGAGGATTTGATCAGTTTGTGTTGGCTTTCGGTGTATTTTGGTTTCCAGCTTTCCGGCATTTGTCCTATCTACTAAAACATCCATGAATGCTAGTTGGTTGTTTGACTCTTTCTCCATTGTTAATTTGATGTTATTGGAAACGTTGTTGATCAACCAAGAACATCTATATGAGCTACAAATATTCTCCACAATAGGATATCTTTAATCTGATTTAGAGACACATTTAACTAACAAAACACTTTGTACTTACTTGATTGGTAAGAAAGTTTAAGCTGATTGCTGAAGGTAGACCAACAAGCATAGAGGCAATTAAAGCAATACCGACTGCAAGCCGATGAGGAACTATAATGAAAATAATATTAGAAAATATAAGACTATCAGATTTTCATCTTACAGATAAAAACAAGCAGAATTTAAGAGAAATATGATGAAGAGTTTATTTGTATACGTCACAGTGTGTTTAAAAGGAAACATGAGATAAAAAGTGTAAAAAAAATATGGTGAAACAAGTTAGTTGATAGGTAACAAAACTATAAGGATCGGTGATGCATTACCGCATAAATCTGTTGTTTATACTTAGAAGTATCATAAAAGCATGGCATACTTCTTTAAATCTTATCTAATTAACTGTAGGATCACATTGTGATAAAGCTTAAACATAATCCTAAATAAACTGGCATGCTTCGATATTACTTGCTTGAAATGATGACTCCAGTAAAACACTTTTAATCTAAGTAAATTTAAAAGCCATTTCAACAGTTACTGAAAAGTATAATTGCTTGTATTATACCGTCGTTGACTGGACCCAATTGATCGGTCTCTATTGGCATATAGGCTCCTGTGTGGATGCCATGGTGTTCTAATTATAGTAAAGATGGATAATTTGAACATAGGTAATATCGAGGTATCCGCATAGAACCCCATATGCCAATAGACACCGATCAATTGGGTCCAATCAACGACGGTATAATACAAGCAATTATTCTAAAACTATACCAGTTGCACAAGAAATGGTTATCGTGGCTCGGTGGTGTAGTGGGATAACACTCTGGTGTTTGATGCAATTGCTCTCAAGATTAGATCCCCGTGAGAACAATATTATTTACTGGGAGTCAGTCATATCCAGCTGATGAGTCCCAAATAGGACGAAATGTACATCCTGAATTCCACTTCTAGCCACCATCCAGTTACTGGGAAGGTTAATCAGGTTTATTGATTTCTTAAAAAACTGGCTTTTTAGTAGAAAGTGAATTACTTTGGTGCCACTGTTTCGAAACTGCCTCACCGTTTATATATTGCTGTGGCGGATATATCTCATCATGCACATGGATTTGTCAACTGAACTGAAGGCAAGATAAGGCATTCACACCCCTTGGACTAACATTCTTTCTTCTCGTCCCAGTGTAAAATAAGGGATAAAGGCTAATGGCTCGCTATCCATGTACTCAGGTTAACGGAAGTATTAGCTAGTATATGGGAATCAAATACGATTCCCTCTGACTGGTCTAAACCACTGATTATCCCACTCTTCGAGAAAGGCAAAAACGTCCACTTGTTATAACCACAAAGGAATCAGCCTGACGAACATAGTGTCTAAGGTTCTACGTTCTATTACTCTTCGACGCCTGAGCGGAGCTCGGGAATAATAAGTCCGAGAAAACCAAACAGGCTTTAGATCCGGTCGTGGGTGTGTCGACCAAATATTTACATTGCGACAGGTTCTGAAAGGTAGATACGCTTACCAACGCCCGACACCAGCTGTATTTCTCGATCTGAAGGCTGCATTCGACTCCGTTGATCGAGCAGTCTTATGGCAATGTCTCTCACTGAAAGGCGTGACGAGTAAGTGAATCACCTTATTGAAGGCTGTCTACTTGAACACTTTTGGGCACATTACAGCATATGTTGAGATGTCCAGGGAGCTGAACTAATCTAGTGGTGTCCGTCAAGGCTACTCACTCTCTCCATTCTTATTCAATTTTATCACACATATTCTTATGAAGGTCTCCCTCTCGTCAACTGATTACACATAGGTTCACCTAATCACAGCAGAATTTGCGTTAAACCTACAATATGCAGATGGCATAGTCCTGTTAGGTGAAGACACTGAAAAGATGCAGTCTTCTGGACATCTTGACCAGCAATTTGAAAATGTTTAGGATGCATTTATCACCACCCAAATCCAAATTGTTGCTCCGGGATTGATCTTCAGCGGTACCTCAGCAAACAATAAAGAGTGTAATGGTTGAGTGTGTTGACCACCTCACTTACCTGGGAAGAAGTATCGAACCAGGTAGCTCAGTGGTCGATGAAATCTCTGCACGAATACAGAAGGCTCGACTGGCTACTGCCAACTGAAGCCACCTATGGCACCGCACGATATCCGATTGTCTATTAAGGGTTGCGTGCACTGCACCTGCACAGCAGTCCGCTCTGTTCTACTGTATGACTGTGAAACATGGCCATTGAAGGTGGAAGACATGAGAAGGCTTCAAGTGTTTGACCACCATTGCCTTCATAGTATAGGCCGTATTCCATGGTGTCACCATGTGAGTAATGCATAAGTCAGGTGTAGAGTTTTAGGGAGTAGAGGTAAATCAGTTGACGAAGTTGTGAACCTCCATCGACTGAGGTGGTTGGGACATGTGTTACTTATGCCTAGTCACCGATTGCCTCGTCACACAAGGTTGTTCGAAGTAGATCCAGGTTGGTAAAAGGGCCGAGATGGCCAAACTAAAACATGGTATCAATGTGTGAAGTGTTTGACAGTTGGTTTGAACCATGTTGGGCGATGCAGACAGGGTGGTTGGGATTGGTGGACAAGAGGAACCAGTGATTAGAGACTCTAGGTGATCTCATGGTTCAGAACCGATGTCAGTGGCGCAGATGTATACCCACACATATTATCCTCATCTTAACTACGCTATACCGAATCTCACCACTCTCTCATTCTTCCTTTCTGACTTCTCGTACTTTATATTTCCCTTGACTGAATTTTCTTTTCTTCATCTTTCACCACACTGCCTTTCTCCTTGATGTACTGATATGAGGTGTGTCAACTTGAACCATTACGCAGTAATGGCTGGTCCAACATTGATTTGGATGGATGCATGGATCCATGTACTCATGTTATCACTCCGGATCACTCCGGTATACAAATGGATTTAGTATCCACAACTTTTAATCCAGAAAAATCGAAGTAACTCATTTTTACACCGCAGGTTCTGGAGCAACACACAGTAATCGGTTTCATTTAATGTATAGTTATTTCTCCATCGTGAATTGTACAGTGATAAGTGTGAGATATGAGGCAGAGGTATACACTAATACTTTATAATAAATTGTAAGTGAGAAGGAATTGACATCAAATAAAAGAATACGTTCAATTAAGCTTTTCTGAGATTTATGTTTACATTTCTCTCTTCCAAAACTATTAGAAGTTTGAAACACTAATCAGTTTTACAATTAGTGTGAGACAAGACTTGTGGTTGAAACCATTCAGCTTAATCTTGACAAGCAAGTCTCCAAAAGATATCCAGTTGACAACATAGTAGGTTTACATGAGTCATAACTTTCGGAAATGCCATTAAAGTGCACTTAAAAAGGCAAATCACAGACGAAATCTTTGGAAGGATCTATGTATTAAATAGTATACAAAGAGATAACCAGCCTTTGTTAAATCAGTACTATACAAGTCCACCAGTTATTGAAAGATTACAAGACTTGCCAGTCAACTGGTCTTGAACTATTACGATTTAATCACTACAGACAATAGTTAAAATATCAACAAAAAAGCCGCAACAGTTATTCTCATATTTTATTAATGCATCACTGTGTGTTACACCACACAAACAAGTGTAAACTGGAATTGTACCCTAACATATTTAGTGAAATGTATATTTAAACCTTAGTCACCAGAAGAAGACAATCTTGCACAATCATTCAACAGACGAAAGGATCACCTTTTAACATAATAATAAAAGGCAATTTTCGAAAGCTATCACATTACTAAGTTTTTATCGTATTAGACAAAGTTATACAAGACGACGATGATAATTGTTGTACTCACCATTAAATTCCTTCATCGACAAGACATATACCTGAGTAAGAGAAAGCAATGAACTGATTCCTGCAAACACAAGGCATAGGAAGAATAAAACGCATAAACACGGCCGAATATACCAACTTTGGAGAATAATACAGGTATCCTGAAATAAGAGAATGTAGATTTGTTTAGTATACCACAGTATCTAGTAATACTTACAGAAAATATAAAACTGTTTAGATGTGAATGATAACAGGGAAGAAGTCAAACATAAAATCAGTCGCCTTTAACCTATATTAGTCACTTAAACAGATGTCGTTTTTCTTATTTCATCAACCAAAAGTACCTGTAATTTGAAGAATATGAAACAGTCCACTAAATAAAATTAAAATATATTCCATAAAATTTAGGTGATAAGAGTGAGAAGCCTTCTATGTGACTAGGATTGGAATCCAGGACGTGGATTTGGTTCTGTTTTGTATTCATCAGATGAATGTACCTGCATCCTAGTTCATGATTTTGTTCTCACTGAAATTGAACTCAGTACCGAACATCTCAAACACTAGAGAATTATTCATTAGGCCAATGAAATGAAACCTATGTCCTGGATTCCGCAGGCAGTCGTCAAGATGACTATAACATCATGAATATCTGAAAATATGGAGGCATCCGCATAAGAGATAATCTCCCAACAGAGGTCAAGCAACTTGACTCCTGTATAGCAAAGGGAAATTACAAGTATTCTAGAATTATGCCATACTTACTCGTTAAGTTAGCACATAGCAACAATATCCACTAAGAGAGAAAAGCTGTAAGATTTATTGCCTACTGTAATCTAATTGTTGCAAATTTAACATCATCGCAAATGGAGTACAAATTTCTTAGCGTTCCACTGATATTTAAGACTTACCGACCAGGATTTCACAGTTGATAAGTTGGCAGGCTGATTTGAAAGGCTTTTTATAAAGAATTTTTCAGCACCTAGTTTCTAGAATTTAAGTCTTTGTCTAAGATTGCAAATTTTGAAAATTCTGCTTACGCCAAACATATGTCTTTGCAAGAACTGGTGCAGAATCATGCTCCTGTCCACCTCAAACAAAATATTAGGCCGAATCATCCTGGAGAAACTAAGGGAGGCGCGACCAGAACGACCGGAACAGGCTGATTGGGATCAGGAAGTACAAATCATGTGCGGATCAAATTGCAGCGCTGCACTACGCATCATCATAGAACAGAGTATAGAATGACAGTCAACTCTCTACCTTACCTCAACTTCATCCACTTTGAGAAGGCCTTTGACAGCGTCGACCGAGAGATAATTTGGAAAGTGCTTCAATACTATGGAATACTGCAAACATTTATCATCCTCATTCAACAACTATATGAAAAGGCCACATGCGAAGTAATTCACAATGGGAAGATCAGTGATGCCGTTGAAGTGAAAACAGGGAGGATTAAGACAAGGCTGTTTACTGTCACCCACGATCTTCCTGATTATGGTCGACTGGAAAATGCAGCAAACAGTGAGGAGTGAGGAGATGGGCATACTCTGTCTAAACCTATGGAAGAAACCCAGAAGAAGATTTGAATTTCATCAATGATTTATGTTTAATATCGCACAAACTGGAAGATGTACAGGCAAAAACTAACAAGTTGATAGAAGAGGCAGGGTAGTGTAGCGAAGACCGGACTTTGTTCAGGTGAACGTAGAGAAGACAGAGGTGATGAAGATAACCAACCAACGCCACCACAGACAACAACAACAAACTACAATCAACATCAACAGCAGAAACATAAAACATGTAGCCTATTTCACCCTCACATATCTACACAGCATCACCTCAAATACAGGTCGCACAGGCACAGACGAAGACGTCAAAGCCAGCCAGCATCAGAAAGACAGCAACACAGGCATTCATTAACATGAAACCAGTGTGGAGATCTCCTCCACTGCACTCAGCATAAAGCGTGAACAACTTCTGGATTTTCAACACCAATACAGTCAAGTCAGTGATTCTGTGTGGTGGTTGAGAGACTTGGCGCATTACGAAAAGCATTTCGATCAAACTACAGATATTCATCAACAACTGCCATATACACTGGCTCGTTACTGAAGCACAGATGGTGAGAATAATAAGAATAAGCAAGGAGGAATTCTGGCTGGCTGACTGGCTGGCTGGGTGGCTGGGTGGCTGGATGGCCGGCAACGAACCAACGAAGCAAGAACTTATCACTCAACAAATATACACTGGAAGGAAGTGGAGATGGATTGGGCATACACTGAGATGACCATTCGGCGACATCACGCACTGGGTCAGACACTCGAATGGAACCCAGATGGGAAACGACGAGTTGGGTGACCGAGATGAGGGTGACATGGAGGAAGAAATGAGAGGTTGTGGACAGTGGTGTAGGCAGGTTGAAAAGATTGGAGAGAAGAGATTGGAATGGAGACGTGCTACTGAAGTCCTATATTTGACTAGGAATCCAAAGGAAAAATAATAAACAATAATAATACACTTAAAGTGAGTGAACTAACAACACAGAAATCTGAGATATAACCTCACTACAAATTTGAACAATACCTACTAAACAGCAATACAACATCTTGAATCCGTATCTTTATAAATCTCACCATGTAAATGTAAGTCCTGTACTCCCAGGACCAGCAGTCTTAATAATTCTTACAATTGCTGAACGTGTTGCTGTTGGATTTGTTTGTATAATTGTTGAAAATACAGTTGAGAATATTGTGATGGATGCAAAAAAGCTGAAAGTAAACAAAAGAGAAAATTTCATAATGTTTCATAAGTTGTTCAAGTAATTATATATAAGATTTGTTTATTTGATTTATAACACAGTATGATATAGTATTATTTACTTCATAATATTTCGAGCATAACTTATCATTCATTACTCATTGTCATATCAATGTAATCATATTACTTTCGACATCTGCAATTTATAGTTCTGTCATTGCATACTATTTGTTTTTATTGGTAGTAAAACTTATTTCCATATCTGTGGTATAGGTGTTACATCATTTCTATTACGCATGTTAGATGTTGATTAGATAAACAAAAACTCAGTAATCAATCTCTCCCTCTATTTAACTACATATTGGGTTTTATGAGGTTTAGGAGTTTTATCCCATCCATGGATTCCAATAGCCTACCGATTTCTCTTTTAGATAACTGATCATAATATTCAGGTCTGTCATCCTATATTTAGCTAATTTCATATGTTAGGCTATTCTTACTGAAGTATGTACTTGGCCACGGAGTCATTATATGGAATTTGATAGATTAGATTATTTTGCTTAATTAGTTCTATCGGATCCTTAAGCCAGCCGAAAAAGGTTATGTGTGAGTGAGTTTGTATGTTTAAATACCACCCTCATAGCAGCTTTGTTGACAATCCCAAGTAGAATTCATGATGTTGCTTCCTTATAGGCTTATATCCTTCGATGTCACAACACTTTACACATCCATCCAACCTCAATCGGCCAACGAAACGATATCCCTCCTCATCAATGAACACAAAAATCTTTCACAACACACAAAACTCAAATGTTCAAGTCTGATGGAACTCATTGACCTTCCTATGACAACATACTTCCAATTCAACGGCAACATATACAAACAGATGAAAGGAACTCCAATGGGATCACCGATATCCGGATTAATTGGAGAAGCAGTGATGCAGAGACTCGAAGCCATTATTCTACCTGTGATCAAACCAGAAATTGGATTCGTTATGAAGACGACACTTTTGTCATCATTGAAAAGGATGATATAGAAAACACCCACAGTTTGATCAACAAAGTTTTCAATGACATGAAATTCACAATGGAGAATGAATCAAACAACCAACTACCATTCTTGGATGTTTTAGTCAACAGGGCAAATGTCGGAAAGCTGGAAATCAGTTGCGTGCAGACTCTATTCGGAAGAGCGAGAACACACTGCAGCACAACAACTTCATGCAGAAATGTAGAAAATTACTTGATGTCCACCCTATAGAAGAACGGCTACCCACAAAACTATATCAGAAGATGCCTATCCCCCACATCATCAACTACAGCGTCATCGACAGAAATCAACAAATGCATCATCCCACCATACATAAAGAATGTCTCAGAAATCACAACAAGATTGCTGAGACCACTTGGAATTGGTGTGGTCACTCATAAATCCACAAATTCCCTCCAAACACTATTATGCAGAGCAAAGTATGCAACAAGCAAAGAAGGCAGACAAATTGAATATCATTTACAAAATCAACTTCAATCAGTCACATTGGACAAGGTGGTCACCCTCTTCGGCTTCAACTATATGAACATCGATTGGCTATTGAACATCCTACACTCGACATTTCATCACTCATTTCAATGCACGTGGATAACAGCAATGGATATGAATTGAATGTTGACAATGTATAAATTTTAGAGAGAGAGAGAGAGAGAGGAAACACAAAGAATGTCAGAGAATTCCTAGAAGCTTGGTATTCAGGTCAGTCAGTCAGTTATTCAGAAATCAGTAGATATGTAGACATAGATGCAATCTATCAAGGAATAAGAAAAATGATAAATGACGGAAAGGTGAGAGGTGAAGCAGAAGAATAGCCGATGAGGAAATTTTCACAGTCAGTGGCACAACAATGACAGACGATATCGTCATAGCAAGCTACTAAATCAGTCATTCAGAGATATTGACAGCTCACCTCATACTGAAGTTAGTGCTGATGTTGTCACTGTTGAGCAAGATGATTAATACTTCACGATTAAACAACGCAGCTCAAAGAACACAATAAATCCAAGATCGTCCACCTGAGCTACAAATATTCTCTAATATTTCAAGGCTTTGTACTCATTTCTACTCGTGTCGTTGCCATTATTTGATTTCGTATTATTGTTGTTATTTTGTTTTCATGTGTGTTAATGCGAATTTCTTACTAAACTACAGAGGATAACTATCGACTATTAGTGCTTCTTTTATGTTCTTTCGTTCTTTGTTCAAATCTTTGCATTGATGAGTGAGTTTTATAGATCTATGATTTAGACATTTGATGAAACCATCCTCAGCTGATATTGGATGAGATGACTTGAGGTCTAGATATTTATGTTGGTTTTCTGTAGACTTTAGTATCTAAACCACCGTCTGTCCTTCGTTTTATCCTGCAATCCAACATGGTTAGTCCTCCTTGTTCATTTCCTACCTCCTAGTAAGTGAATTGAATTGCATCCCCTACTGAGTTTATGTTATGTGTGAGGAAATTGTCAATCTGTTCCGATTTCAATGCAGTAAATGTGTCATCCATATATCACCAGCATATCTTGGGTGCAGGACTAAACGTTTGTGAATGCATATTTTCACAACTATCCATAAATATATCTGCTAGGATTGAAGGGATTGGCGATCACATTCTGTCCTAAGACTTGAAGACTGTGGAGGTGAGGCACGACTGTACGCTTAATATGATCTCATCAACCGATATCTTAGTTTCGTGAGTAAGTCGTGAGTCAATATTTAGTTGGCTTCTGACTGTTTCCAGTACCATATTGATTGGTATTTGAGTATAAAGACTTGTTATATCGAAACTAGCAATGGGATCACCGATTTCCATTATCGTAGCAGATATATTTATAAATAGCTGGGAAAGCATGGCCTTACAACAAAGCAACACGAATGATGCAAAACTTATACCAGAGGCATGGAAAACTTTACTACCAAAAGGAACAAAGAATAATAGGTGACTGGTCTATACAAATCAGATATCGAAAGTAGTGTGATTACATTGATATTATTACTATTATTATTATTATTTGTCCCTTGGGTTCCTAGTCAAATATAGGGCTTCAGTAGCACGTCTCCATTCCAATCTCTTCTCTCCAATCTTTTCAACCTACCTACACCACTGTCCACAACCTCTCATTTCTTCCTCCATGTCACCCTCATCTCGGTCACCCAACTCGTCGTTTCCCATCTGGGTTCCATTCGAGTGTCTGACCCAGTGCGTGATGTCGCCGAATGGTCATCTCAGTGTATGCCCAATCCATCTCCACTTCCTTCCAGTGTATATTTGTTGAGTGATAAGTTCTTGCTTCGTCGGTTGACTTGACTGTATTGGTGTTGAAAATCCAGAAGTTGTTCACGCTTTATGCTGAGTGCAGTGGAGGAGATCTCCACACTGGTTTCATGTTAATGAATGCCTGTGTTGCTGTCTTTCTGATGCTGGCTGGCTTTGACGTCTTCGTCTGTGCCTGTGCGACCTGTATTTGAGGTGATGCTGTGTAGATATGTGAGGGTGAAATAGGCTACATGTTTTATGTTTCTGCTGTTGATGTTGATTGTGTTTGTTGTTGTTGTCTGTGGTGACGTTGGTTGGGTATCATCATCACCTGATATGATTATGCGCAATGGTAATTTATGCTCGAAACGTCATCAAATTAATAGTACTATATGAAACTACACTATATACCAAATCATATATCAAACAAATAAATTTATTGTGGGATTACATTCTATCACTATGCTCAAGTCTTATACTCATATTATGTTCCTGTACGTATATAAGCGTAAAAAGATAGCTTAAATGTAGCGAATAGTTAGCACACTATCTATCAACATTTGATGCTGCTTTGAATTTCACTCAATGATTACATGAAGTTGTTAAATTGCAAGATACAAAAACTGCTGGAAACCATCTTTTCCTTTACGTGAATTCACATAAGTAATGTTCGTTTGTACTGCACAGAGTAAGTAGTTGTCAGCTTTCTTTTCCAACTGTTAAGTTGATCTGACTAGTCAATGAAAACATTAAAATGAACCGTAATGTCCAAAAATGTGAAACAAAGTATAACTTGATAAATTAATATGCAGAACAAGAATAATTTGAGCTATACACCGTGTGCTTTGCAATCTCCGTAAATGTGGACGACTTCGCATCGTATCCACAGCCGAAGCCATATGGGAGAAAAAAACAAGGAAAATAAAGCTGTGTTCCAAGTTGTTAGTCATCGTTAACTGATATCAGTTGGAGGAACAAAGGAAACCTGGGAGCACTGGATAGCTCTGTCTTCCCACTAGTGTGAGACTCCTCAGCAGTGCACACATACGACCCCACACCACCACGGATCGAACCTGCCACCTTCACGTTCCGTGACCAGCATGTCACCATTCAGCCACTCAGTCAGAATCCATTGCTCCATATTACCAACTTCTCTTAGCTCACGATATAACGCAACCACCACCCAATATCATTATTGAGTAATTGTCCTCACGACTTTGTTTGTTTATCTTCACCCACAACAGGGTCAACACATGAACACATGAACTTTCCTACCACAAATTACACATTTCTACCTCTCATCCATTTCTTCTATACTCTCATCACATTCACTTTCTCATGTTATTAATTTTAAGCTCTTCTCTTCTCAATACCACTACCAGTAGACATTTTCAACTGTGACGTAACACTTCACATTCTCTACTTAATGATAGTATTCACATGATTTTCATCACAATTGAATATAATTCACCACTACATAATGATTATTTGACCCATAGCAAACAAACAAGCACACACACATTCATACCCCAATAAATGTACATAAACGAGTCATTCTCTATAGATTTTGTCTCCTCATTCAGTCAACATTGATTTGATTGTACAACTAACACACTAGACTGATAACCATTCCATCATTCTATTCGATTTGATCTCCATTCACTCCTAACATGGACTGTTTCAATACAGTCATAATTGCATATCATTCCTTATTTTGTTTATTGTATTTTACTTGTTCTCATGGATTTTTAACTGTAGAGTCTGAAGAAGAAGAAGAAGGAGAGGTTGTTATTCATCGTAGACTGACATCAATTGGAGGAACAAAGGAAACCTGGGAGCACTGCACAGCTGTTTCTTCCTAGTATGGGACTCCTCAGCAGTGCGCACACATGACCACACACCAGCAGGGATCGAACCCGTGACCTTCAGGTTCCGTGGCCAGCACGTTACCATTGAGCCACCGGGTCAGAATCCAATGCTCCATATTTCCAACTTCTGTTACCTCACGAAGAAGTAGCTCTCAAGAAGAGGTTATTGAGAACAATACTGGTCGTTCAAACTATCCATGTTCTGAATAATCTCTGAATATCTTTAAATTATTGAAACTTATATACATTAGGGAATCAGATTACCTTACAACGTTGTTGACGATAGGAATTAGAAAGCTATATGAAACTATCCTTGAATCACGTGCCATGAAAGTTGAATAAGTCGCCAAAACAGACATACCAGCATTAGTATCAAATGCATTTTGTCCGGCTGCAGCAATCCATAACTTAGGATCAGCAAAACTGCCTATAATCAAAGTAATTCACAAATAATTTATATATATATATATATATATATATATATATATATATAATTTACATTGTAACAGAAAAATGTTTCATGAGATATTTTCGAACCGAGTTCAGATATAGTAATGATAGGCAGTGGTTAACAGTGAAATCCACGATGCGCATTTCGTCCTATTTGGGACTCACCAGTCAGCTGGATGTACCTGCCGGCTCCCAGTGAGTGATGTTGTTCCTACCGAGATCCGATCTCGGGAGCGATCGCTTCCAACGCCAGAGCTTCATCCACTAAACCAACGAGCCACCACCGTGTCCCCGTTGGAACAACATCACTCACTGGAAGGCAGGTACATCCAGCTGACTGGTGAGTCCCAAATAGGATGAAATGCGCATCCTGGATCCCACTGCTAGCCACTGTCCATCATTACTATACATAGCAAAAAGACAGGTAATATTGAGACATCCGCTCAGGAGCTCATACCACAACAGAGAGTGATCAATTCTGTCCAATCAACAACGGTGTAACACGGGCAATAACACGAGTCCAGATGTGATTACAAATCAGACAACAAGAGAAATTACGTAATGGTTGAAATAGTAATGAGAAAACTTACCAAGATCGGACTAATATTCGGTTACTAAGTTAAATGATGTAACATGGCGAATGCAAAGAGAAACTAGAATTATAGGAGTAGAGGAATGTAATGTAATGTGTGAGAGGATCTGAATGAAGAGATTTTCGAAGGTAGAAATGTTCTTATTGCAACTCGAGTGACTGAACAAACTTCTTTTGAATGCAGAGTTCAGGCTTCAAAATATTAATTGCAATGGCTTTCTCAGTTTAAAGTTTTTGATGTACACCTTTCGTGAGATTTGTACGAACTCTATAGGTGATTCTAAAGCTGTTTTCTGTACTTACTGGGTGGTTACAGATGTTCTAGAATAGAACTGTGAACTGTTCTCCTTTCAGCGTTGTAGAACCAGGCTGGGATGTGTTCAGAAATGCGCTTGGAAAGCGAATGCTGAGATGGGTGGTTTATGATTAAAACGTATAATATTCTTGATAGCTAATTTATTATCTGATTTTCTATTCTACCAGTTGGCTCCAACCCCTGTTAATTATCCAAGACCGAAGTTTGGAGACTAGTCTCTATAAGAAATCTTCCTGTTCGAGTCGCTACTTGCACTTCAAGTCAATTTACCCTGTCTCAGCTCAAGTAGGCTTGGTTGAATGTCTAAAAAATAGGGCAAAATGTTTACTGGTAGGAAAGATGATCAAAGACAAGAAGTCAAACACATCAAGAACACCTTACGTCCCAACAATTACCGGCCAAAATTGATTCATAACTCTATAAGAAACATGAGTAGTGGCAGTAGTAACCCAAATGTTTTTAATAACAATTCTAAGAATTATAATGATAATAGTGACAAGGAGGGGACAGAATTCAGAGCCTCTTCTATGTTACTGCACAAAGAAGGCACCTCGCAAGCTGCAGGAAACCGTCTCAGTCAGGTTAGAAGTAGTGTGATATTTAAATTTTCAAAAGCTCCTAGAAACAAACTTTTCAGGTTTGAAGATACTACCGATCCAATGAAGCAAAATAATTTAATTTGTCTAATCCCTTGTAAACATTGCGAGGTAAAATACATGGGTCAAAAGTAGTCGACCAAGGTCAACTAGAATAACAGAGCATAGAAACGCTAAGCTAAATCAATATTAGTAGATCCTAGTAAGGTAGGAAATTTAGAAAAAAGCTGTGCATGCGATAACATGCAATTACACAATAGGATGGGACAAGTTAATAACCGAATCTTTGTTGATCGAATAAACACCAAACACATGCAGTAAGAGGAATGATTCTGCACCTATCCCAGATAATATGGAAAATTCTCCTACCCTTGTTCATCACAGAGAAGGAGAGAGAATTGGGACTATATAAACAGTGTTTCGAAGTTGTGGAGTGAGTTATCTGATATGCATATGGGCAATGGCTTGTGTCCGAAACGTTACGCAGTAAATGCTACTGTTTCACTGTGTGATATTTCTAATAAACAGACTAAAATGGGATTATAATCGACCACTGTACCCAAGTTTTACTCTTATATAAATCAATTAAATTTACTTACTCCATGCTGGTGTGAAAAGAAAAACAATACCAACTTCGGCATATTGTCTTGTCAGTGACCAACCGAATGTGAAAATCACAATTGACAAAAGAAGCGGAACCAATATCATATTAGCTTTTTCAATCCATTTTATTCCACCAGCTAAACAGATGCCACTGAGTGCAACTGCTAAGATTTGTGTGAATACTGGCCAGTAGGAATGCTAAATATTTAACAGAAATAAAGAAACTTATAAATAAGATTAAGATAGAAATGCTTTTACTTTTGTAATGATATGCAGATAAACAAAACAGCAAGAATAAGAAAAGTTTGAAGTTTGAGTAAAGCAGTGGGTACATTTTATGATAACGGTTTGTCCCTTGGGTTCCTACTGGAACCTACCTAGGTAGGTAGGTAGGTGTGGGGTGGTAGGTGGGTAGGTGTCGGTGGTAGGTAAGTAGGTGGGTAGGTAGGTAGGTGTGGGGTGGTAGGTAGGTAAGTAGGTAGGTAGGTAGGTAGGTAGGTAGGTAGGTAGGTAGGTAGGTAGGTAGGTAGGTAAGTAGGTAGGTAGGTAGGTAGGTAGGTAAGTAGGTGGGTAGGTAGGTGAAAGAGACTACTTCCTTTAGATTTCTCTCGTTAATGGTCATTGGTGCTTGTTGTTCATGCTGTTGTTTGTTGGATTCATTCATCACCTCCATCTTCTCCACATTCACTCGAAAGTACTCCAATCTTCCTTCACTATCCTCCATCTTCTGTCAACTTCTCAGTTTTCGCCTGTCAATCTTCGAGTATGTGCCACAAGATATTAGACACAAATCATCATCGTTGGCGAAATTCAAATCTCCCTCTGGGGTCTTTTCATCTGTCAAACAGCAAGCGTATGTCCAGCTTCTCGCTCCTCACGGTTCGCTGCATCATCCAGTCGAGTCGAGTCAGTCACAATCAGGAAGATCGTGAGTGATAGTAGGCGGCAGTCTTGTCTTACTCCTTCCTGTCTTCACTTCAACACGTCACTGAGCTTTCCATTGTGGATCATTTGGCATGTCACGGGATATAGTATCTGGCTGTTGAATGAGGTTGATGAAGATTAGTGGCATTAAAACCGTAGTATTGAAGCAGCTGGTTGACAGATTACTTCTCGGTGGACGCTGATGGAGGCCTTTTCAAGGTTGATGAAGTTTGGGTAAGGTATAGAGTTGAGTGCCATTCTCTACTCTGCTCAGTGATGATGCGCAGCGTTGCAATTTAATACGCACATTTTATGAAGAATATAATTTGTACAACAGTGGTTATTCTGAATATAAAGAAACCTTATCGGTATAGAGTTTTGTAAAGTAATGAGAGGTTTCAATAATGAACTGACATCAACCAGATAAATACTAAAAGTCTGGCTTCACCAAAACGGCAAGTTTTTCCAATTTTTAAACTTCTCAACAGTGTACAACCAAGATAATCATGTTTCACGTTGAGCACGTTGCCATTTAGCTACTGGGTCAAAATCTAACGGTTCATGTTCTTCTGTTTCTATCAGTGTGTGTCATAAGACGACCATTAAGCAATGTCATCAACGAGTACTTGTTCCAACAGCTAAAATACTTTATGCTATGGAAAAGTTAATCTCTAAAGAAGTTGTTAGCTAAAATAAGACAGATATTCTGTCAGGAGTTTCAATAGGAAACCTTCTTTCCACCACATACAACCATCTACGTTGATTGGTCACTGGACGGTAACCAACGTCACATTGTCTACCGCCAGTTGGTGGCTGAGTTCTACCGATTGGTTTGCTATATGACCACCAAGCTGGTGGACTCACAATCGCGGTGTACTGGGCAGATGAAATTAAGATGGAGGCAATTGGCAGGAAGTCCTGGACCAAGGTTTCATGCTTTCTGGCAGTCGTTATCAAGGCGTATCAGCAACCTCGACGGAACTGATGTCCCGTCTGAAATTTAAACCTTCATCACCTTTCCTACCAATTACCTTCAACCAACTAACGCCTATTTCAAGGTATCATCATGCTGACTGTCCTAGTTTGGTCGCCACATTGCGAAATGACTGATAGGATTCGATTAGCACTTAAGACTAGGGTATCTGAAGTTGGTTACCTTTCAGTGAGCAATCACCGTACTTAATCCACTCCTACAGAAGGTCAATGACGACCTGAACATCTCAATGGTAACGTCTATGACTCCAGCACTGGATGACGAGGGCTCGAGTCTCAGGAGGGATTTCAGTTCCATCTTGGTTGTAGATAAGCGCTTCTGTCAACTGTCTGCATCTGACTAACATCTCTGACGATAAAAGCTTTGAAAAAAGGTGCTGATTTTGCGCGTATCTATCAGACCATAAATGTCTCTACTAAATATAATTATCAATTGGTGTACTGCATCCAGCTGTCTATTTAATGCATACAAAGTAGTAGATTCCTGTATTTCTATGCTCAGAAAAACAAAACTCTCTCGATTCATTTTCCATCTTTATACGAAAGGTAATACTATTCACATTATACATACTTGTGTATAGTTATTGAAAATTTCCAAACCATCCTGTTCTGTAGTAGGCAATGAAGCAACTGAGCATGATATATAAAGATAGTATATACACCATCCAAGAATAACTGGATAATAAGCACTAGAGACAACAAAAAGAGAGAGAGAAAATACTCTACTTATAAACAATGGCTTAAATGTTTAATACAAAGAATGGACAATAATTTGAAAGAATTTGGGGGGGGGGGGTTGTGCAGATTTAGAGATTTTTGAAGTTGATCATGGTATGACATTAGTTGGAGGAACAATCGAAACTTGGGAGCAATTGACAGCTGTTTTATTCTAGTATGGGACTCCTCAGCAGTGCGCACTCATCATCCTGCCCTCCATGGGTCGAACCTAAGAACTTAAGGTTCGGTGGCCAGCATATTACTACTGAACCACTGTTTCGGAATCCACTCATTCACATTTCCAACTTCTGTCAGTTCACAACATAGCCCAAGCATCATCCAATATCATCGCTGAGTATTTATCGTCATGGACACCAGGTTTACGCCATTGGTTACGACTTCTCATTGGAACTTCAGGGATCACCTCTCGAATCTAGTGACCAATGAGCACCAGATATTGTGAATTTGGGAGTTTATGAGGATTTAGAGATTTTTGAAGTTGATATTTATCATGGTCTGATGGAACTAGTGTGGGGCTCCTCAACAGTGCGTATTCACCACCCTACTCTCCAGGAGTGTAACTCAGGACCTTAAGGTTTCGTAACCACAGCTTTACCATTAGATCTGAGAAGGTCATGGGTGTGCACTGCTGAAGAGTCGTATACTGGAACCAAACGGCTGACCACTACTTCCACGTTTGCAGTGTTCCTGCAACTGATATCAGTTGAAAAAAATATCTTGCATGATATTGAAACGCTTACCAGGTATAGCCATCGCTCAGAGAACAACTCATTTTGAACATCCGTACTCTGAGCTGTAAATATTCATGAAACTCTTCAGAGAACCTAATCATGGCCAACTACTTTAAAATGTTATTGACAATGTTTATGAACTCATAGAAAACTGTTACCCTAACATACTGATGAGACTTGCTTATCACAAAGACCTAATGAAGTAGGTTGATTGAAACAAACGTTATTTGAGGTCTCTTAGATGTTGGTTAGATATGATAAAGCTTTCAATGTCACCACCCTATATCAAATCTAACAGCAGGATTCTCTAGCCTCGACTCCGATACAATGACCCTTGTACGCATACTCTGTCGGTAAGATACAGATACATGACGCAGGTCAAATGGTTAAATCTGCGAAACTTACTTCTCTAGTACCTAAAGATTTGGTGGTTAAGATCTTTCTTGTATTATTAAGTCCTAAAGCTGAAAGTAATCTGCTCAACGTAGTCAGAGTTGACAGTCACTTGTATGCCATTCAAGTAAAAGACTTAGTGGAGGGACTAAAAAATGTACGGAAACTCTCCGCTGTTGCTTATCATCTCTGTTTACGAACCCATTGACTACAGTTAGGAAGATGTGAAGGATGAGTTCTAGAAAAAACTGTCTAGCTTGCTAATTAAAGTTAAGCGTTCAAGTGTGGTTGTTTTCTAGGTGATTTCAATGCCAAAATTACGTTGGCTGTGTCAGGCAAAGAGACAGCTGGATGGCACTTTCAAAATTCAAGCTGAACGGCGACCGCTGATGAAATTGTGCTCAGAAAGCTAAGTAGTTTTGAACTGGTGTTCACTAACCCCAACTCCATAGTCTGCACAGATAGACCATATTGGTGTCGTTTATTGCTTCACTGGGTTGCTGGAAGATTGATACTCCTTCTGGAGCATGTTTTCAGATATCAACGAAGTGTTGGTTCCAGTACTCATATGTCTGCATCTAAAACCCTATAAAAAACCCATGGCTGCATGACCATTCCAAGCTCAGCTAAGTGATAAGAACACCAAAGATGGATTCCGTGACAAACTGACTCAACAGTTATCTGAACAGAACAGCTTTAATCAGCCTGAAGAAGCCTGATGCCATGTCCAGTCCGCTGTGAAAACAACGTCAAAGATCATAACTGACTTTCAAAATGAGTCTGGAAAGGTTCAGTGGATCTCAATTTCTTTTGGACTAACGGATGCACGTGAATGCATTTCTTTAGGCGTCAAGTATAAAGAGCAGTAGAAGCAACTAAAATCTAAACTGATGTAGAGTTTCGTAGTGATCGCGAAAATTGGTGGGCAGCGAAAACATCACTGAGCTTCCTATTGTGAATTATTTGACATGTGACGTCTTCATATAGTTGTTGAATGAGGCTGATAAAGGTTTGTGGTATTCCGTAGTGTTACTTCTCGGTCAACGCTGTCAAAGGCCTTCTCAAAGTGGATGAAGTTGAGGTAAGGTAGAGGACTGACTGTCATTCTATACTCTGTTCTATGATGATGCGTAGAGTGGCGTTGCAATCTTGTCCACACATGGTTTATACTTCATGAAGCCATCCAACCAGCCTGTTCCGGTCGTAGTTTCGAATCCAGTATATCCTTTAGTCTATCCAGCATTATGCGACATAATATCTTGCTTGCTTTGGGTGGTCAAGAGCATGATCCCGTGTCAGTTCTAGTAAAGACGTCGGTTGCCCTTCTTCGGGAGTTCCACAAGATTGCCCTCCTTCCAATCAATAGACAGGTACCTTCCCTCACTTACTTCCACAACTTCTGCAATAGTGATGTGATGTGAGCACGTCCACTGTTGTCTCTGCGTCTGTCCTCAGTGATACTGGAGGAATCCCATCTGGTCGTGCTGCTTCCTAGCATTTCACTAGCTTTATGGCGTTCAGGAATTCACTTTTGTTTTCGTCGGAGGGCTTGTGTTCACTGGTAGTTCTGTGACTGGGTTGCAGGTGGTATTTCTGGACTAGTTGCAGGTGGTGGTGGTGGTGGTGGTCGTCGTCGATTCAAGAGCTTTTCGAAGTGGTCAGCTCATCGATTCCTTTGTTTCGCTTCTTTGGTAATTAGGTTTCATTCATCATCTTTTATTGGTTTTATCTGTGTTGATCTCTTCCCTCTCAGACAATAAATAACCTGGTTATTTGTTACAATGTTGTCACATCTCTGTCTCTCCTACCAGCCCTCAGCCTGTTCTGCTTCACTTGCCAGTGTGTCGTAGAAGTGTCTTTTGTCTTTGCGTGCACTCTTCTTCGCTTCCTTGTCCAGTGTAGTGTTTTGTAGGTTGTATTCACTACCTCTTTTCGTTGTGCATCCTTGAACTGGTTTATCTTCTGATTCACCATCCTCCTCCCCTCTCCCCTCCTCTATCAGCTTCCATGTGTCCATCGAGATCAATTCCTTATCTTCTTTCTTCTTCCTTCCTAATACGGATGTGCAGGTTTCTTTCCACATAGCTTTCAAAGACTTCCAGTGCTTTTCCACATATGTTTCTTCAGGGATGTTCCTCGATATCCCTCATTTTGTTTTGATGGCTGCCGTGAAGATTTTCTTTGTAGTTTCGTCCTTCACTTCAGTTTCTGTTCTGGGTGTTGAACTTGAACTGTGGTCTATCTCCGACTTCCTTGAAGGCTTTCAACTTGATTCGGAAGGTAGGTTCCTTGTACTAGAGAGTGAGTGGTGTGAACCTACATCTGCTCCTCTTCTTGACCTTGTGTCAAGTAGGTTGCGTCTCCACTTTCTTCACTTTGAGATGAAGTCAATCTGATTCTTAGTGTGTCGATCTGGTGAATGATGATATCCGTGTCACCTTGCAGATATCTTTGTGCTTGAACACAGCGCCTCCAATCACCAAATCGTTGAATGCATAGATTTCTGCAAATAATTGTTCACTCTCGTTCATCACCTCACCGAGCGCTTCTCGATTCATGGTTAGTTTTCTTTGTGTGTTGTCCGCTCCCAGTTTGGCATTCATGTCGCCCACTAGAATTTTTATGTCGCTAACTGAGGTCTTGTCAAGTGTTGATTGCAGTTGTCTGTAGAATTCCTCCTTCTTCTCTTCATCTGCAGAGTAGGGGAGTAGGGAACTCATTTTTTATGTTGACTAAAAAGTCAGCTTGTGACCTACAATCAGATACGATTTTCCAACTCCCTGATTGTAGCGAAATGCTTTTATGATAACCTTAGAATAATTAGTCTTATCAAATCAGTGTATCTGAGGCAAGGTTTCATTATTATCAGACACCTAAATAAAGCTGAGGGATAGAAAACCTGAGAAGAAAGGGAAGGTTTTATACCTGATTGTGGGTGGTTCAACCAAATGTTCACTTCCCGAGAGGTCTTGTAACGCAGACGCAATTACCAACCCCTTACATACTGCATTTCTAGGCCTGAGAACAGCTTTTTACCCTGTCGAATGAGACATTCAGTGGTTGCATATAATACCTAAAAAGGTGCTTACTCTTTTGACTGCTCTCTATCCGAATATTTGTGGACATGATCCAGCCTATGGTGTGGCATCAAGTGATTTGTATGCATCTGGTGGTGTTTACTAAGAATGCATGGTTCTTCCATTGTTAACCACTTTTTTCCTAGACAGGCTAATGAAGGTCTTCTTCTAACACTCTGATTTTTAGGGAGCGAACTTGTCAGCGGACACTCTTAATGAGAATTTATTTGAGTACAGATTCTATGAAAGGTGAAGATGACAACAATATGCAAAGTCTGCTGCACACTTTGAGTGATAAGTTGCGAATGTCTCGGAGGTGTTTTCCGCCACCCAGTCGTAAATTGCTACTCCAGGAACGGTCTTTTCTAGTACCTTCTTCAAAAATAGGCAGGGGATTGGTTGGGCGCGTTGACTACTTTATTGACTTGGAAAGTCGAATCATGTCTACATGGATCCAGAAGGCTTGCTAGACCCATGTAAACTTATGGTACTTACGATTCCACTGTGATATCCAAATTTCTATTGTTGGCCAAGTGTGCTGCTCAGCAGTTCGTTCTCTCCTGCCATGTAGCTTTCGGACATGACCAATAAAGGTAGGGAATATCATACAACTTCAGATACTCGACCCTCTATTACCTTTGTAGTACAGTGTCGTGAAACCAACACATCAGTGACGCAGTAGTTAAAGTGAGGTTTTTAGCAAAGGAGGTAAGCCATTCGATGAGATTATAAAGCTTCATCGGTTGAGGTGGCTGGGACATGTACTACGCATTTCTGACCACTGTCTACCCCATCACCTAATGATAATTCGAATGAATGTGGTCTGGAAGAAGGTTGAACTTGACCAAAGTGAAACACGACATCAGTCCGTGAAGTCTTTGATTGCCGATCTGAGTCATATAAAGATTGGGTGGGATTCAACTGACAGCAAAACTCGATGGTTGTAGAAACCATATGGTACGTCCTCGAATCGACTTCAGTGAAGTAGACGCTTCCACGCATTCACTTTATCCTAAACCATACACAAAATGTCGTTGTTATTTAAATCTCCAATTTTCGTATGACCTTCCACTTCCTTAAATTTTTTTCTTCTTTATTTCACTAATCCTACAGGGACTAAACGATGCGCTGGGTTCAAAATTACAAGAGGAATAGGCTGGATTCAGGAAGAACAAAGCATGTGTGGATCAAATTGCAACTCCAATCTACGCATCATCACTGAGCAGAGTAGAGAATGGTAGTCAACTCTACACCTTACCGCAACTTCATCAACCTTGAATAGGCCTCCAACAACGTCCACCGAGAAGTAATTTGTCAACCAGCTGCTTCAATACTACTGTTTTAATGCCACTAATCTTCATCAACCTCACTCAACAGCCAGATACTATATCCCGTGACATGCCAACTGATCCACAATGGAAAGCTCAGTGACGCGATTGAATTGAAGACAGGAAGGAGTAAGACAAGGCTGCCGCCTACTATCACTCACGGTCTTCCCGATTGTGATTGACTCGACTCGACTGGATGATGCAGCGAACCGTGAGGAGCGAGAAGCTGGACATACGCTTGCTGTTTGACAGATGAAAAGACCCCAGAGGGAGATTTGGATTTCGCCAACGATGATGATTTGTGTCTAATGTCTTGTGGCACATACTCGAAGGTCGACAGGCGAAAACTGAGAAGTTGACAGAAGATGGAGGATAGTGAAGGAGGATGGGAGTACTTTCGAGTGAATGTAGAGAAGATGGAGGTGATGAATAAATCCAACGAACAACAGCATGAACAACGAGCACCAATGACCATTAATGAGAGAAATCTAAAGGAAGTAGTCTCTTTCACCTACCTACCACCCCACACCTACTTACCTACCTAGTTAGCATAGTTTCAAATACAGGTGGCATAGGCACAGATGAGGATGGCAAAACCAGGATCGGATAAGCACTGAAATCAGTGTGGAGATGTACTGCACTCAGCACAAACCACGAGATCTGGATTTTCAACACTAACCCAGTCAAATCAATGCTGCCTAATTGATGAGAAACTTATGGTGTCACGAAAAGCATTTCCAACAAACTACAGACATTCATTAACAGCTGCCATCTACGCCCACTAGATACTGACACTGAAGATCAGATCAGATGACCAGAATAATAAGAATAAGCAAGAAGGAACTGTGGCTGGCTGGCTGGCAATGAATCAACGAGGCAAGAATCCATCACTTAAGAAATAAGCATAAGAAGAAAGTGTAGATGAATTGGATTGGGCATACACTGAGAAGGCCGATTGGGGACCTCATGCTCTAGGTCAGAAACTTGAGTGGAATCCCAAGGGGAAACGACGAGTTCAGCGTCCGAGTCGAGGGTGACATGGAGGAGATGATTTAAAGAAGAAATGAAAGCTTGTGGATAGTCGTGGAGCCAGATTCAAAAGACTGCAGAAAAGAGAGTTGAATGGAGACGTGCAACTGTGGCCTTCTGCTTCATTAGGAACCCAAGGTAAAAATTAAATAATATATATATATATATATCTTATTTTCTTTTTGCAGTTTTCTACTTTAACACGTGGAAGTCAAGTGTACCAACTCCTATCTTTATCAAGAAATGGTTAACCAAATGGTGATACTGACTGACATGGAAAGGGAATCAACTAAACTGCAGGATAATCTATGTGAAACAGCAATAAATCATTCAATTTATCCTTGAATTGTATTAATTTAATCAAGGTAGGAACAACTTTAAGCTATATGTTAACTTGTTAAATAAATTATAAATTGATTAAGAATTTTATCATTAGACATAATTGTTGATAATAATTTTTTCTAACTCAATACAAAAAAAAATTCAACTGACCTTAAGAGAAAGACAACAGATACCATCCATCCACCTAACCAAAAAAATTTTTGTCCAAAAAATTTACACAATGCCAATGTAACCGAGTTTCTTGTAAATCTACCAATTGAATATTCAACCAAAATGATTGGTATAGACCAAAGGAATAAAATAAGTAACCATACAATATAGAATGTTAAAGCTCCTAAAAGAAAAATAAATGAGGGAAAAAAAAATGAAGCATTTTGATAAAGATATATTATCAATACTTCAATATTTTCTTTAAGAAGTAGTACATTTGTATGAAAATAAAAGTATATTGAATAAAGAAATCTAGTTAAAGATTCTTACACTTTCCAAGAAAACAGAGAGAGATAGAGAGTAAAGTGAAGAGTACTGTGTTTGAGTCTAAGTGGGAACAACACTCAATGGGCAGCAGGCATATCTAATTAAGGAGTCTTAAATAGGGCGAGACGTACATTTTGGAATCCTGTGTTAGCCACTAAGATGAACAAAACAAAGAAAAAGTAATCCAGTACTTGGTATCTAGCTAAGTAAGAGAGTTTTACTCCATTTTTTTTGGTCAGCTCTCAGTTTCAGGTTGGTATCCTCAAAACCCAGGGGATTCGGTAGCCTTAGTGAACAGGAAATATTCACAGCAACTCAATCACAAGAAAACGAATATTCCTGTCAGAGCACTGTATTAACGCTCATCCACTTTCATAGGTTAATCGGATCGTTTTGTCACACTTACTTATTTGTGGACAAATGTGCATCGGATATGTCTCACTAATCCAACGCAATCTTGCGGAAAGCGATGCAGCTCACCTTCTGGTAAGATTATTCTCGTCTCACCAACATTTCAGACACGGAGGCTACTACTAGGCTACCTTCGAATAGATCAACGCTGCAATGAAACTGGACTCAGCATTCCACATTGAATACATCCTGTCTTCCCAAGGAATGTTTTAACAAACAACAGTGACTTCCGGAATTAAGAAGCTGGATCCACCTTTTGGCAGTACTGCTCTCAGCACACTCTTCGGAATCCACATAGTCAGCCAATCTATTCGTGCTTCGGAGACCTGCACTGTTAATAAGAGCGTATGGATCTCGTCGACGACTACTACCTCTAAGTCAACTGTGATAGTGTATTGGTTTAAATCTGGCGAGGTGACGAGAAGACTCACCGTTGTTGTTGGACTAGCCTTGACTAGGAGTCACTGGCAAGCATATTATCTCCAGCTTCCATGGCCAACAGATGGAAAACTCATACCTGTTTAATAGCACTATTTAGCGCTTATTGACGTTGTAGGTCTAGCACGTAACTAAGGCGGACCTTTTGACCAACTTGTGAAAGTCATAGTTACTCTGAAGTCAAGAACTGCATACTGATGACGACTAACTGAATACTCAACAACCTACCAATATTCAATTCGCCGCAATATCTATGGAAATATAACGCCTACAGTAAGCTATTATTATCAAACTGGATACTTAAAACATTTAGAGAGACTGAAACTCAACTTTAATTTAAGTAACAATGTTTGCAAAGGTGGATAAACTTATATAAGTATTGAAGTTATATTTCTTACATCTGATAGTTTCCTATCACTAAGTAAAATCACTTTGCTTTAGTAATTATATTCTAATATACATGAAAATAGAATAAATGTTAAAATTACCAGTTGAATGGCTATGCGATGCTAGAATTCGAGGAAATCTCCAAATGTTCCCTGTCCCAACTGCGCTACCAAGACAGGAGATAATTCCTCCGATTGCAGACTGAAACATAGACTTCTGTGCAGTAACTCGTAGTTTAACTGGAGCCATACTGGAGTCAGAAGCATCCTTTTTCGATGACTGTAATAACCAAGACATTATATGAATTATAACTGATGCCAGTAAATAATAGATGAAGTCAAATCACAACATGAACTTTTATTCCTGGAATCAAAGTACTCTTAAGTAAGAGATTGCTTTCAGTAGATGACAGATGAATTCATTCACAAAACAGTCCACTTAAAGTCAGACAAGTACATGAAGGCAGAAAAGTGTAGAACATCGTGAAAATCCAAGCCACTACACTTCTCACAACAAGAGTGAGAAAAGTAATGAAACACATCGCAAGAAAGAGAAAGAACAATGGACAATTCGTAAAAGTTTCAAAGTTTTCGTGAAAAACAGAGAATACTTCTCGAGTCGCTTACCGATGGGTAACCCATTTACCTATATAGTCCAGAATGCTTAAGGCTGATCGAAGTCTAACTAACAAGTCTTTGAAGTGTGGTCAGTCAACGAAGTGATAGCAAACTGCAGGGAACTGTAATTTAATCGATTGTCTTCAGTCAGTATGAAGCACCAAGGACCGAATGGTGTACATAATTCAGTCCTACAAGAGGTCAGTTGTAGTATAAACAGCTTAGTAGTTAAGTTTCTGAACTTGGTATTAAACAAAATAGGTTTGAATGACCTAAAAAACACCAGCTATGGGTGGAGATACGCCTTGCCGATGAGTGCCAACAAGCATGAAATCTGGGTGCCCAACAGGGCTTCCTATGAACTAATTCACACCACCCATAACCGAAAGTAGGTATGGAATCTAGGCACTACGATGAAATACGGTCCCATACTGGATTATTCTATCTGACATAACACTGTGATAAAGTATCATCCACTGGATGACATTTCGAGAACAATTTGTTACTCTTAATTATACCAAGGTGAAATGTTTTTTGGGCAATAAATCGCGCTAGAAGTGTCACCAAGTAATTTAAACTGTCTCACCATGTGTTGTGGCAAGTAGACTTATCCAGTATGGAACAATTAAAATAAACTTTAAGCACTTTCACCGGTGATATAACAAAATAAGTCAGTAGGATCATCTTGACGAGTGTAGCGTCAAACACTTTTCTAGAATCAGTTGCCTAGGGTTCAATGAGATTCAGAACTAATGCTGACCTTCACAGTTTTACTGAAGTCGGTAAGCTGAAGGTACACTGTCAAGCATCCACGCCATTTAGCACGCTGTCGTGTTACGTTCCACTACTTGTAACCGACCCACTAGCCAGTTAGTTGGAAAGCATCGGTATCTTGACACGACCTTGCAAATATACTATTCCATCTGACTACGTTATTGTATCCTTTCTCGGTCTCGTATTTGCAAGTTTATAACAGATAGGAATAGTTTGTGATTGGCCTCTGCATCTGTCAAGTTCACATCAGGACAATTCCTAAACGAGATTGAATCTAGCTGTCAGTTCAGTAAATATATTACACCAATATGTATAACGGGATAATGGCTTCAACTATCAGTAATATTTGTTTATTTCGGCCTACATTTTCAGTAAATATGACTTCGACTTTAATTTTCTTAATGGTGCCTAGTAGTGGAATCCTGTACCAGTCACCAACAAGCAAAATTTCAACAAGATGAATTATCAGGTACCTTCAAAGCATCTGCTTAGGAGCTCTTATGCCAGCAGAGGTCAGTCCGTTTGATCTAGAATAACTAGTATTTATAACTAACGAATTTCAGTTAGTTTTACAACAGCGAACTCAGATATGTAAACTGAGCAACTATTCAAACTATCTCCGCATTCTAATCAAATGACCTTCTACCAGAAACTTACAAGTCATTGTGTGTTTACTTAAGTGTTTTGTTATTTTGATAAGCTTCTGGTAGAGGTCAAGACACAGCAAATAATCCTAAAAGACTAACATAAGTTTTGAAGTTAGGGTAGCTTCTACCAGTTACTCGTTCAAGAAATATATTATATGAGATTCCTAGAATAGGATGATAACTGTAACAAGATAATGAGTAGGAAACTTGTAGGCTATAAAGATCTGTGATCCATGAATAAATCAGGTAATCAATTTAGATATCCCAGAGAGTTTAGCTTACTATGAGTACAACAAACGTTTATGATAAACAGCAAACAAACTGAATAACCATGAGGATTCATTTTAAAATGTACAAAGGAATAATTTGTTTTCATAAACAACCAGTAAATATTCAATCAAATTTATCATTTTCTGTGTAATTAAAGCTATTCCTTACACTATATTGCTTAACTTTGATCCACTTTAGTGAGTTTAAAATCGAATTAACATATATGGCGGCAACATACATTTGTTAACTGCTGAGGAGTCCCATATTAGGACGAAACATCTGTCCGATGCTCCGAGGTTTCCTTTGTACCTCCAAATGATGTCAGTCTACGACGAATAAGAACTTGAAAATGTTATCTTAAATATCACTTTATCTTTACATCCTAATCTTAATTAGATAGTCTTCAAAGTATTGCTTTATCAAATACAGTTACATGTAATTCCATTTTAGTCTGTTTATTAGAAATATCACACAGTGAAACAGTAGCATTTACTCGGTAACGTTTCGGACACAAGTTATTTATTACCCATATGCATATCAGATAACTCACTCCACAACTTCGAAACACTGTTTATATAGTCCCAATTCTCTCTCCTTCTCTGTGATGAACAAGGGTAGGAGAATTTTCGATATTATCTAGGACAGGTGCAGAATCATTCCTCTTACTGCATGTGTTTGGTGTTGATTCGATCAACAAAGGCTCAGTTATCAACCTCTTCCTCTCTTCACCCAACTAAGTTAGTTTTCAACACTGTCACCGTATCCCAACCTACTGTGTGATTGTGTGTCATCGCATGCAGAGCTATAGCTGAGCTTCTCTCTAGATTTCCTATCTTATTTGGATCTACTAATCTTAATTTAGCTTAGCGTTTTTATGCTCTGTTATTCCAATCGACCCTGCCTGGTCGACTGCTTTGACGTATGTGCTTGACCTCACAATCATCGCAAGGGATCTGGTAAACCAGATTATTCAACTTAACTGCATCGATAGGATATTTTAACCTACAAAGCTTGTTTGTAAGCGAGTTTGTTGGTTTGAATGCCACTTTAATCCCGGCCAGCCTTATTGAGGATTATCCATAATACTTCTGAGGCGACTACCCTGTGTGGTAACACAGCAGAGGCTATTAATTTTCTCTTTACCCTGTCGCTATTATTACCATTAGTAGTGGGATTATCATGTATAACATCTGTATTATTACTACTACTACTACTACTACCACCACTGATATTTTTCTTTCGATTACATATGAATTTATTTATAGATTTTGGTGGGTAATTATTGAGACGCAGGGTATTCTTGATGTGTTTAATTTCTTGTCGCAGATTTTCCGATCTACTAGTTAAACTTTTTCGCTCTATCACTTAAGCATTTAACTGGGCTCACTTTAGCTGAAACGAGGTAGGATGATTCGAAGTTTAAGTAAATAAATAAATGAATAAATTCATAAGAAATCGAAAGAAAAACATTAGCAGTGGTAGAAGTAGTGGTAATACAAGTGTTGTTATTAATAATTTCACTACTAATGGTAATAATAGCGACAGGGTTAAGAGAGAATTCATAGCCTCTGCTGTGTTACCATACAGGGTAGTCGCCTCAGAAGTATTACGAAGAATCCTCAATGACGCTGGCTGGAATTAAAGTGGCATTCAAACCAACAAACTCGCTTACAAACAAGCTTTGTAGGTTAAAATATCCTATCGATGCAGTTAAGTTGAATAATCTGGTTTACCAGATCCCTTGCGATGATTGTGAGGTCAAGCACATACGTCAAAGCAGTCGACCAGGCAGGGTCGATTGGAATAACAGAGCATAAAAACGCTAAGCTAAATTAAGATTAGTAGATCCAAATAAGATAGGAAATCTAGAGAGAAGCTCAGCTATAGCTCTGCATGCGATGACACACAATCACACAGTAGGTTGGGATACGGTGACAGTGTTGAAAACTAACTTAGTTGGGTGAAGAGAGGAAGAGGTTGATAACTGAGCCTTTGTTGATCGAATCAACACCAAACACATGCAGTAAGAGGAATGATTCTGCACCTGTCCTAGATAATATCGAAAATTCTCCTACCCTTGTTCATCACAGAGAAGGAGAGAGAATTGGGACTATATAAACAGTGTTTCGAAGTTGTGGAGTGAGTTATCTGATATGCATATGGGTAATAAATAACTTGTGTCCGAAACGTTACCGAGTAAATGCTACTGTTTCACTGTGTGATATTTCTAATAAACAGACTAAAATGGAATTATAATCGACCACTATACCCAAGTTCTACTCTTATATTAACAGTTGCATGTACACTAACCATCAAGGACAAGTTATATGTTCAATAAAACCTGTTTAGAACCTCTGTTAAATTGGTGTGTATAAGAGATCTTAGCGAATAAAATGATAATGATTTATTTCATAATTGTTAAGAATGTTCTAGAAGAAATTAGGCGCCAAGTTTGATCTATTCCTTATGAGAGTATATTTTAAAATCAAAACACAACGTCCAGAATTATGTTGTTTTAATTTTCTATAAAAGTTAAGTTTATATCAGAGGATACTTTTATTCAATTTTCTTAAATTGGTAACATATCTGGTTATACAATATGTGTATCATCCTGTCAGATCTAACCTAGGGATTATCACTTTTCTAAATTTACAATGACGAACAATTTATTCTAATTATTATCGTTAAAATCTTTACCCATAGAAATACATACGAATAAGATTATTTATTCAAAGAAATTAATTTAATCATTAAACATCATCTTACTTGAAAACTTTCAGCACTGTTAATATATTGGCCTGCATTTCCATTTGGCACATTGAATACATGTATAACATCTAAAGGCTTTTCCATTGAGAAACAGGTTCAATTATTTCAATACAGACAATTTTTATAAAGTATATTAGCCAATGATTATTTTACTCAAAGTTTTATTGGTTAATTTATTAGTCTATAGTATAAGGTTAAGTAACACTAGTTATGTTGATGATTCGATTGTCTAAGATAAACTTTGGCTAATAGACTTATGTTCTTAGCCATTCAAAATATCTGCATAAAATAATGTATAAAAGTTTACTTTTTATTATGTATATTGATAAAAGAGTCTTCTAAACATGGATATTAGAGTTTATTGAGCGTTGTAAACCTCTATTCATCAAGATCAAGCTTTAAGGTTGTTAATGAACCTTGTTGACGATAGCCTGGAAGAGTGAAACCCAAGTTTAAGGCTTCCTGCTGATTGCCTCCATCCAACTAACATCTATCAAAGTGCTGAGTCGTCTAGTCTCTTGGCTACATTCCAGAATAACCGACTGAAGTCTATCAGCACTTAAGACTAGATAACATGGTGTTGGCTACTCACGGATTGAACAGTTCACTGATAACGTCTCTGTCTACAACACTTGGTGACACGGGTTTGAACCTCAGGCTGGATATCAGTTCAGTTGAGACTGCAGATACACCTTGCTGACGAGTGATGACAAGCATAAAACCCAGGTGTAGAGCTTCCTACTGATTGTTTCGACCAAACTAAAGTTCTCGATTTCTGCATGGAAAGTGAGTTTCTACTCAGAACATTCTGTTGACCTAAAATGTATAGTGTTAGCGGATTATATAAGGATGTAAACTGAGATGAACGATATGACTATTTGGTTCAGTATTTGAGTTCTGAAAGCGTTCCATAATAGAAATCCAAGAGAACGCTGATCAGTAAATTCTTTTACTTCACCTTGGTTGAACCAGTTTAGCTTTGCCGAAAATTTAACAAAGTGGTGAAGTGGGATATTCAAAAACCTCTTTATTTACGGGATCTATGAAAGTTCTAGTACAAGAACTTTAGAAAAGTGTTGAATAAGTTTATTTTCTTTCCAGAAATAAAATATGAAGTTTTTCTCAAAATATTATTTGATAAAAAAGTTAGCTTTTCCAGTGTCACTGTTTCAAAGTAACCTACAGTAATACTATGAGAAGGTTCAGCAATCCTCTCGTTAATACTAACCTTCCACTGTACATAGATATCATCGTGCCCCTTTCGGTTTGATTCGTTTGTGTTGTCATGGATAGCATTTGCTTGATTTGAAGCTTTCTTTCGACATCCTTCTCTTTGTGTTATCTCATTTAATTAATTTCAAGTAGTTTCCTCAGGATTAACACCTGAAGCACGAAGTCGAATCCAGGATGAAGTTATCTGAGCATTCAAAGTTTTAGCTTCAGATATAAGGCCTTCGATAAACATTGATTACAAAAGGCGCTACAACACCTGTAAACTAGTCAGAATAACAAACTGGGATTAGAAAAATACTAGGTCCAACTGCTGACCAGAATTTTATTTGACTGAAACCACCTAGGGCTTTGCTAGACTACCATGTGGATCCGTAACGCGTTACTACCACTTGATCGTGTTCACACTGGATGCGTAGTCAGAACTTCTCATCCAAATACAAATCAAACTGAATCAGAGAGGGGGAGCATCATATTGATTATCATTTGACTATGTGAGATAGCCGCAGTTTGGCAGACTAGTATTAGTACTGGGTGATGATTGAAGGTGAGATGGAAATCTGGACTGGGGTGGGATTCAAACCAGTGACCACTGGGTTACCATCCCATTGCTCTACCAACTGAGTTATGACGTCCAACTGCTGACCACAATTTTTCACTTCAATTACCAAGTCGGACCTCGTAGCTCAGTTGGTAGAGCAACGGGCCGGTAACCTGGTGGTCACTGGTTCGAATCCGGCCACGGTCCAGATTTCCATCTCACCTTCAATCATCACCTAGTACAAATACTAGTCTTCCAAACTACAGCTATCTTAGGCAGTCAAATCATAAGTGGGAAATCAATTAGAAGATAGAGTTTGCGGTGAATATGTGTTCTCGATCAATTCTTGTCAGGCTTTACATTTATAAGTTATTTATAGAACACTGTCCAGCGTCGTTAGGCAACGGAACAGTGAAATACATGAAAAGCTTAGTACTTGTTCATCTAGTAGGTAGTGAGCATAAGACTGACAAAATCTCAGCATTTACTATTATTTACAAAGTCCCATTACCATACTCTGAGTTTGTGCACCTCTGATTGCTAAGCGCAGTAAAAGTCATAGCCATTAAAGTTTTCAAACTTAATTTACGTATTCAGATAATGTTTGTTTATTCCCTTTCTCTCCCATTGCCTTAAACTTCAACCCAGATATAATCACAATAATCTGTTTCCCGGTCATCTGGATGAATGTAAATAGTATCTGTGTTTATACTTTTATTACTGATATTTTTGTGATGAATGAGGATATTTTTATTCAGAAGTAGTATTCATCATGCAGTGACACCAGTTGGGGAACCATTGAAAATCTGGGAGCACTGGGTAGCTGTTTCGTCCAACTAGTATGGGACTCCTCAGCCGTATGCACCCACGACCCAGCTTGGTGTCGAACCCAGGACCTCCAGGTTTCACGGTGAAGGCGTTAATCATTAAGCCACTGGGTCAGTTTCCAGTGGTTTATTTTATTTTTCGCCCTTAGTTACAAAATTAAGTAGGAATTTTAACATTTTCTTATCTAATCGCTATGTGATAATAATTTTATTTCCCTCTAATCCTGCACACACACCTATAAGGATTGACTGCTGAGAATAGTATTCCTTCCCTAGATGTGCTCATCACAAGGATGGATATATTAAGAGGAAAATTACTCGAATGGACACATAAACCGGTCAATATATTCTTTTTGATAGCTTCACACTGATTCAATATGAAAGAAACCTGGTCAAATACCTGAGTTACAGAATAAGAAACTATTGTTCTGATGACCGTATTGAAGAAGTTAATAAGCTGAAGATAACATTGCAACAAATTGCATATCCGCTTAACTTCATAAATAAACATATATTGAAACTGAGAGACAGGAAGAAAGATAATGTTACTAAGAAGCCTATAGGTTAGATTGATAGGTGAATTAGTGTTAAGTAACCATGTATCACAGAACACTGAAGTCTATGTTACTTGGAGGGTAAGTAGACCAGTTAAATTGTTTTCTAAGCTGATCCACCTAGTCTTCGAGGTATCTGCTACAGTTGTCTCCGCTGCACCTAATTCGGCCTAAGCAATAGGGTAGTATCATAAGCACCCACATAACAAGTCTAGTTCGTAATCAAGTATTATTTCATAACCTATCGAGTTGAGTTGCATTATTTCATTATTATTACCAAGGTTATATGGATCAACAAGTCATCTACCTCGCAGACCACCCGACATACACCAAGTTCCTTCCTGTCAATGGTTCAGATGACGTAGAATATCTCGTTATTGTCACTTTTACGGGGCATTCTTCATAGCTGTCAGTGGCTGTACTCACGATTTTTTTATAGTGTCTTTTAGGTAAAAGCAATGACCGTCCATGCTTTCTGGATGTTGGACAGCTAGCTTTGAATCTGATACCAGTTGAATTTAGCTCACATTAAAACGTGGTCAGAATCCAAACAGATCCTCCAGAAGGAGTCGTAGTCTTAAATATATTCACACCAGCGATAGAGGTATTATAATTTGATCTATTTGTGTCTGGGATTGAGTGGCAGAGATAAGAGGGAGTGTAGCGTAACGGTCATGGCTATAGCGAAAGTTGTTATTGGCTAGAAGCTGGTTGTGATCTGCTTATAGCTTCAGAAGAAGATCCTACTTATTCAGTCTGCGACCAGATAATCCTCATTGGTCACTAAAAGATCATCCTTTGGGCCTAGACGTCCAACCTATGCATTCAAGTACCAAGCTAGTAGTAGGATATATGAGTGAGCTTGATTCAGAGGATCGTTCGATTGGTGGTTTTGACACCACAACTGTATGTGGCCTGCAGAAATTTCCAGCACAGACAGAGATGACAAAGGGAGATAGTTTCCTCTGCCAGTTATTTGTTATTCTAGTTGGACCCTTAGCGTAACAACACAGATCACTATTGATGAGGATCCAGTCGACTTAAGCAACTTTTGCTTTGGGGCTTACTGTAACACTATTACCAGCTATGCTAGCTAATGATGTCAAAAGATCTCAGGGTAAGTGCCCAGTAAGCACATTGACGGATATAAAAGTCACCGGAAACACTACACTGTCTCAGAAGTATAGTGTACATTAACAGCTAGGCTTTTCGGAGCCCTGGTCGAATCTATCTGTTGTCCGATGTGAAACAAAGCCCGAACGTTGAGTGATGTACATGGTCCCAGAATAGTTTTGTTCAGTTATTACACTGTGAAGAATCTAGGATTTTCACTAATGATAATGATAATGAAATGTTACATAGAGTAGTTGTGTTTAACTTTAGATAATATAGGTTTGATTACTTATAAAATCATTTATGCAATGCATCAGAATCTTCAGTTTTAGTTTACTTTCATTATTTGTATATAGGCTGTTAGATTACTCAGATGCTTGAATCCAAACGGACAGTTTTCTTTAATGAACTACTCTGAGAACTTTTAACTTCAAATCTATTTTACGTTGGTACATACATAAATGCTTTACACTTTATATGGTAGATGTGTACAGCTTTGTGATTAACAATTAGAACAAGACATATAAGCGAACAGTATTGTTTTCAATTAGATCCTCTTCAGGCTTAACTATAATAAATTTTGTGAAGGTTGTGGAGATTTGGAAATATTTCAAGTTGTTATTCATCGAAGACTGACATCAGTTGGAGGAACAAAGGAAACCTGGGAGCACTGGACAGCTGTTTCGTCCTAGTATGGGACTCCTCAGCAGTGCGCACCCACGACCCCACACCACCACCGATCGAACCCGCGACCTTCAGGTTCCGCGACCAGCGCGTTACCATTGAGCCACTGAGTCAGAATCCAATGCTCCATATTTC